CAATTAGGGTGCTTTCACACTAGCACTTTTGGTGCGCACCCGGGTTCGATTGACGTCAAAGTTCGGTATGTTTGGATGATGTGAATGCTGTCTTCTGAACTCAGGTGCGCACCCGCGAACCGTACCCGAGTCCGTTTAAAAGGTGTGGTCTGGGGTACGGTTCAAGTGAACTCCAGTACGGTTTGCTGCTGATATGAACGCAATCATACCAAATTGCGGAAGTGAACCACTATTAATGGCATATTATTTGATAAAAATGCGTGTGTGTGTGTGTTTCACTCACTTTCCTGAGAAGCGTGACTGACCCGATGCAAGCAGACAGCTGTATATCTCATTTCTGTTCGCCTTCTGCATTCTTTAGAGCATTTGCAGTACATTCGTAAGACAGACGTAAGTGCCGTTATGTACTGAAGCTTAGGGAAACAAAACCAACGGTTCAAAAACATGACTATAAAAGAGCAATAAGAGCAATGCTACGCATTTTGCCACCTTCTCCTGTGCCGTTGTTACTAGGCAATGGGGTAAACAGCTGCTGGCTTGATGATGCAAACGACCCACGGGTTGGACACAAATTAAATGATATGAATGCAGTCCAGCGGAGGCAGGGGGAGGGGGGAGCAATCGAACTCTGGTTTGGACCAGGCAATCGAACCAAGTGTGAAAGCACTCTTAGAAACGTATGCTTTGAGCAGGTGATGAACGACAAGCCGACTGCTCTTTGAATAACGAACCAGTGCAAATATAGACACTTTGCATTTTATTGTGACCTGCAATAACACAGTTGCAAACATTTCCATATTGACTTTGATAAGCTTATTTTGTAGTCAAATTAGGCAATATTGTAGTCATCTCATTGGGCTGTTCGCCTATGGAGCTCCTGTTCTGCAGAATACAGTAAGACTGTCTCTCTAATAAATGAATGGCTATGTTGGAGGTTGTGAAGTAAGTGTGTCTCCCCCCGCTCAGATTTCCTGTTGCTGTCTCATGACGGAGGCTCTGCTGGTCTATAGATAGAGCTGGAGACACTGGGCTCAGCTGAGCTGCACTGGTGAGCGGGTCAAACTGTCAGACAGTACAACAGGTGCTGAACACAAGAATCACACACACACACACACAGAGCCCACCCTCTCTAACTTCATATGTGTAAAGATTTGCCGAAAGCCTTGTTTAAATGTTTGCTGTCAGGCTGCATACTTTGCAAAGTCACTGTCAGATCTGTCAAGGCGTATTTGTATTGAAGTGTAATGTAATTAATTATTGTGTAGGGTATTAGGAAAAGTAAGCAGGTCATATTGCACATGTGTCACATGAGGATTGTGATAGTCAGAAATCATCCAGCATTTGTTTACCTGGAATGTGAGTCTGGTGCACTGTGTGTGTGTGTTGATCTTAAATTAGACACTGCTGCTGAATCATGTTTGTTGTTTTTTTCACCTTGTTAGAGATCAGCCGTACTTGCAGTAGATGTGAATCAGATCACCCCCATTGCTTCAGCTGCACCCCCTATTTTACCAAACCCCGCCCTCCAAAAACATGTCAGCCAACCTGAGGTCAGCAAACCCAAACATTTAAAAAAGCTGAAAAGCGTGGGCTGCTTTTTTGAAGAGCCTAGTGTTGTCACAGAGACAGGTGTGGTTTCCCAGGACACCCTTTTCAGTGTTTTGTGTCAGGACTCTTGAATGCCTTCTTTCAAGCCGTTAAATGTTTTCCTAAACAGTCCAGTGAAGTTTAAGAGGGATGCCCTCCCAGCCATGGTTTCTCTCTTCTTATATCATGTCCACCCATGTATTATGAAGATGTTGCTTTTTCAACTGTGGTTACATGGAAAATATGACTGTTCCCCCTTTTTTTTCTTATGGGTGTTTTTGGGCATTTATTTATAGGACTGTTGAGAGACAGGAAAGTTGAGGGAGAAAGAGGGCCATTGGGATCGAGACGTGACTTAGGTTTGAATATGGATCCTGTGAACCAGCTGCTCTTACATATATCATCAGCATGTGCGCTATCCACAGCTCTGACGTCTATTCTTGTCATGATTGCTCACTTTTGAAACATCAACGTAAAATGCCAGCCTCACTGGAGAAAGCAGTGAAAATGCACTTTCACCATTTCATTCCTGTGCTGTATTTCAAATATATACACTACTGTTCAAAACTTTGGGTCTGCAACTTTTTTTATGTTTTTGAAAGTGTCTTATGCTCACCAAAGCTGCATCTGAGTGAGTAATCAGTCGATTCTATAAGGCGGTGAGTTATCTGAATGTTTCATACAGGACAGATGCAGAATAAGGACTCCTTTTTAAAAGACAGAGTGCTTTCTGTTTAGATTGTTTGATGTAACAGCTATTAAGATAAATTCTCTTTCCTCTCTTGTGCAGGCGGAGGCAAGACTTGCTGCGAAGAGAGCAGCTCGTGCTGAAGCCCGGGACATCCGGATGAGGGAATTGGAGCGGCAACAGAAAGAGGTGAGTCCTACAGAGCAGATGGGATGAGAAAAGGCACTTGAACCTCCTGCTTAATGAATAGTGCTGAAGTTGCACCAATGTGCAGTTTCTTAAGGTCTTCATAACTCTTTCCTGTGCCTTTGTCGAAATCCAGAACCACATGTTTATTATACTTATTTCAATCAGGTCTGTTGACCTGCAGATCTGTTCTTCATTGATCCTCTGTTCCAAAACCTAGTGAACTTCCTGCAGAGGCAGCATTGTAAGGCATTATAGACACACTTTCAACATGAAGGCTGTTCCAAAAAGTTGGCAGCATTATTGATGCAGGGTTGCATGTATCCTTAATGGAGAAGGAAATCTTATAATGCATTGCGACAGGTCATTTACCTTAGCAAAATGATAATGCAAAACACTATTGAAATACTGAATTGAGTCTCCCATATGCTGAGCACTATTAGTATGACACATGGGTTGCTGCATATTTAGATCACAAATAGATCACTTATGAGGTTCAATTTCACTTAGGATGCTGCCTGTGTGGCATTAAATGGCAAGGCAGCTCACTAAGTTTTGGAACAGAGCCTCTGCATTTCATTCAGAATATGCCTGATCAACCCTCTACGCACACCTTGGCAATATAATCGCCATTGGCTAGTAAATTTTTTTGTTTACTCGCCAGACTGATATACTATTTTACACACACACACACACACGTTTACTTAGCTATCTAAATGGGGACATTACATAGACTTCGATTGTTTTTATATACAGATAGTTATACACTTCTTAACCTAAACCCACCCCTACCCCTCAAAGAAAACTTTCTGCATTTTTTTGACGGAGAGTGAAACTCTCAAGCGCTCAGTCAGCGTGTTTATCGAGTGAAAATCTGTGTTGAACGTCTCTCACACACATACTGGCGTGTAAAATCTAAGAATTTATTAGACAATGGCTAATGTTAGACATTATTTAGTCGCCCAGAGTAAGATTTAGTCGCATATGCAAGTGATTTACTCGCAATGTAGAGGGTTGCTGATCTTCTATTGACCATCACCTCTTTTGTTGCAGTCAAGCAGAAGGATTGTTTTTAGAGTGGCCTTTTGAGTAATTTGCTTGTCTGTTTCAAGCATTTTTGTTGAGAAGACAAAGTACGGCTGCTTTTACAAGTAGTTCCAGATTCACAACCCAAATTTAGCTAGCTGACTAACTAAGCTCATAAGTGGAAACAGGCCTATGACAATACAGTTTGTTTTCAATGGTTGCAGCCACATGTGAATGATTCAGTTATCTGTACTTGTGCATTTTCAGATGTTGTTATACACTTTCAGACCTGGTTTGAAGAATATGTTTGCATACTGAAGTACATACTTTCGGTATGAGTAATTGCATGTTAATGGGTTTGTTCACCAGTATGTTTGTTTGTGTTTTTCTCTGTAAGACATTCACCAAAAAAGTACCAAACAATCCACTGTCACATTGAATTGCAATAGAAGTCTTTGTGTTTGTCTTGTGGCTGTCTCTCTCTCACAGCTGTCTTACCATCAGCACTCCTCCTCTAGCAGGAAATGGGGGCAAATCCACCAATGGATGGTATGAGAAAGATTAGGCCAGTTTGGACATGCATGTACTTTCACCTTTAACTAATAAAGAGCTTTCAGATGGGAGTGTGCTAGCTGTATTCTCATACACTCAGTTGTTTGTATGTGACTTTCAAGCATGTTTTTTAATAATACTTTTTACTGCTCTTTTGGGTTTATAAAGGAACCCTTGTGGTCCTGTTGTTGTCTTTAAATATAGTTTTCAGTTAGGATAGGGATTCACTTTTTCGGGATAGTTTTTTGCACATGATCTATTTGCTTTTGTTTGTGTGTTTGTATATATTACAGTGGTAAACCCATAAAATGGATCTCAGCATTTTAGTTTTATCAGTCTAATAACGAGTATCTCTATGTGGCCTTTTCTTTATGGGCTGGGTGATATGTTCCTGATGTGTTTGTAGTGATTTTGCTGACAACATTAAAGGGGTCCTATTATGCTTTTTCACTTTTTTAATTTTAGTCAGTGTGTAGTGCAGTACTGAAACGCCGTCTAAGCTGTTCGCCAATCACAGCTGGGACAGCTAACCAATCACAACACATTTCGTTTTTTTCGAAAGGCGGGCCTTCATTAAAACCCAGAACTAATCGAGCCGTTTGTGCCAGCCTGGGGAGAAAGGTAGTTTAATAATGTAAATTATGTGAAAAATAATGCGTTTTTCGAACCACCAAGCATGAGAGCATGTTCTAGTACACCCCCAAAACAAAATCAAGACTTTGTAAAAGAGCATAATAGGACCCCTTTAAGATTTGTTGTGAATATTACAATAATTTAAATGCATTTTTAAATTTTATTTAGAGATGTTTTAATAGCAGCTATGATTTTTTATTAATTTTTTAAACCCCTGCACTACATATTTCATGTATTTGTTTATTGTATTTTAAACTGTTTATTTTATAGTGTATTTTATATGGGTGCATATACATGAAAATAATAAAATTTTAATATAATACCTTAGATAATATTTTTAGTTAAAAACAAAAGTAAATGGATTTTATTATTCATTCAGTGAATAACATTGTGCAAAATATGCATTGATTTATTTTCAGCTAGATATTTACTGTGTTTAACTACTTCCATCAGTTCCAAGCAAGTATGTAAATATTAAGACACATTTCGAATTTTGTCAAAAGGATTTATTTTTTAGCTATATTGCCCAGTCCCTGTTGTCATGTTGCTGCTAGTAAGCTTGTATGCTTGCCCTGAAATTTGAACAGGTCTTATCCTGGCAGACTATCAGCAAGTTTAGTGTGTTTAGAGTTTGTTTAGGACCGCTGGTGAAGACTAACACTAACAGCCTAAAACATGCAGCGTTCTTTTGTTTAAATTCTGTATCCTTCATTCTGTTCATCTCAGTCTGATACAGAAAAAGCCCGTCATGGTCATCATTCCAGTAGCCACAGTCAACGGGTCTGTATCTCCTGATGCTGCTGTCCGTCTCCTTTCTTTCTCCTCTTTTTTTCTTTCGTCTTATTACTTTTTTTTTATTCTCCTAATTTTTCATCAACAGGGATTAAATGATGACACGGCATCAGTCCGGAGTGTCGGAAGTTACAGGGTGTGTCATACTTCAACATATACCGCTTATTTTCTTGTGTAGAGTAAAACTTGCCCACAAGTTGATGTGAAACAAGTCTTATTTGAGACATTTAAACATTAATTGTAGTAATTGTTTAATTTTAAATATTGGTACATAACATACAAATAGAATGTTGCTCCAGCAATCAGCATATATTTTATTGATCCAGTAATCATAAACTGGAGAGTCTTAAAAGCCTGTTTAGAAAGGTAGATAAGTGCATTTAATAAGCTATTGAAATTTGAAAAATGAATGTTTTCCTATTGGATTTCTACTTTTAAAGTCAAGTTCGTCATCTTTACGAGACCTGAGCAGTTCTCATCGCTCCAGTCGGGTTAGTTCTTCCAGGAGAAGAGACTTGGTGGTACGTGTGTGTGATTGTTTGTTTGTGTGTGTGTGTGTGTATTTTGGCAACGTTGTTTTCTCTTTTGTGACTGTCATGACACTCTAAATTAGACTGCTGTATTATACTAACATTGTTTGCTCTACTTGATTGGCTAGAAAGCTTGTCTCTGTAACACCTACCTTAGCTTTTATGTTATTGAAATGATCTAATTCTAAAGCTGATTGATAAAGATATACAGGATTACCATGGTCATGGAAAACTTAGAAATGAGCATTCATTTATTTATTTATTCCCCAAACCATACATCAATGGAAAGCTTATTTATTCAGCTTTCAGATGATGTCTAAATCTCAATTTTGAAAAATTGACCCTTATGACCCAAATTCAGACCTGGAAAAGGCAATTAAAAGGCAGCTAAGGAATAATGTTCTGAGAGCTACATTTCATTTTCATGCAGGTTACTTCAAGGTTGATGTGCATGAACATTACAGGCAGACTTTGTGCAATTGATGACTAGCACCATTGAGTGGTTTTCTATAAATGAAGCATAATCGGACTGACTCAGAGACTGAGGGCACTAACACAAAAAGGTCTTTGGTGTGATCTGACGTAACACTCCCTTATTAGTGCACATGGCATGTCTGCGGCATGGATTACTTCATGTTATATATCCAGCATAGATTGTGATGGTTGTGCTGTTTTCTCTGCAGTCCAGCGTCTCCAGTAGTTCCTCTTTGAAGAGCTCCCACTCCACTGTATGTATCTGTGACAGTTTACGTTTATTCTCCATTGATTGTCAGTAGTTCTGAATTTAAGTATTTTATATTATTCCAGTTCTGCCCTTTATATAAGGGCAGACATACAAATCTGGGATCTTTGTTTTTTTGATGTGGCTTTTTAAATCAAAGGTTTTTGATTTAATTTAAAGTCCGCGTGAACCAGAAGTTGATGCCGACTTTATTTCAATGTAGTGACGTATTTCCATCTGAAACGGAATATTGAATAGAGGGCATGGCTTTATTTTGGAGCTCCTCCTCTCTGTCTCTCAGTCATAGCAAACTAAACGATTGGAGGGGTGTGTTTAAGGATATTCTGCCCAAGCCGTCAAACTGACGTCATCAGAGAAGGAATGCCATTCCAAAGCGGAAGCAAATGTGCAGATTTTGATTAAAGATTACAGAGACAAACACATTTTTTTCAGCGGATTAACTTGCACGGATTAATTGTTCACATCAAGACTTGCAATGTGTGCTAGTAAAGTAAATAAAGTCAATTTTGATTTCATGCGGACTTGAATATATGTTTCAGAGTAAAGCACTGCACTGTGTTCCTTTACACATGGGCAGCTCATGATCCGATCCAGTGTTTTCAGTGTCTCAGAGTAACTCTGTTCTCAATTAATGCTGCCCTACACAAACTACAAGAATGTTATAAGTTTGGGTCACTTATAGCATGCATTTGGGAACGAAAAATGTGCCAAACTTCCCAAACTTTTAATGAGAAGTGCTTATAAACAGGTTCTTGTCAACAAAAGAGAAGCTGTAGGGATTCTCTGCGGTTTTCCATCCATTTAGGACTGCCACAAATATTAGTATTGCAATTTTACATTTGTAAAATAGAATAAAAATTATTATTATTTGAAATATTTCAATAGTTATATTTTTTTTATATTTAGTCTTTAGTAATAATACTAAAAATAGTAGTAGTTATTATTATTATTTATTTTTTTTTATTTTTTTTTTACAGCCCTTCAAATAATCACATTTTAAATCACAATCAACTTTTATCAAGAAAATTGCAATTAGATTTTCCTCTCAAATCAAGCAGCCCTACTGGTTCCAAAATTAGTGAGTTATTATCAGTAGTAAGAGAAAGCTTTTTGCATTTGTGCTCTTCTCTTCCAGAGCTCTGTATATAATGATCTTCACAATAAACCTGTTGGAAGTAGCTCCAAAAAGGACCTTCTGGTCAGTACTGATCAATATCCTGAACTCAAAAGCTGATTCATTCTTAATGCATCATCATGAATGTGTTCTTCCAGGTTTAGAGCACGATATTTCAGATTTATGACTGTGATTCATATCAGATATGTGTTAATTTCCCATTGCTTTACACCATTTCCTTAGACTGGATTGTATCATGACCAAAGAAACTACACCAGCTTAAAGAACTCCAAACCTTCTCCCTCTACTGTCTCTACCTATACACCACGGGTTTGTCTCCTTCCTTTCTGCATGTTTATTACTCTCACACTGCAAAATGTTTGGAGAAAAAGTCTTTACATCCTCCTGGAAAGTCTCTTCCTAATTACAATAAATGATGTATGGAGTTCGTTTTTCTTGTCTTGTCAAGGTTTTTATTTCAGTACTGGTTGTTCCTTTAGTTTTAAAAGCTAGTCTGGCATCATCTGTTTGACTCGGTGGTTTAGTGGAGATATTTGACAGCTGTTGCTTGTGGTTTGACCTTCACAGGCTCCCTCTAGCAGCAGTTCTACAGGTCTGATGCGCAGCTATAGTGTGGTCAGTCTGATTTTCAGCACATCTGCCATGTGATTGGATGTGATTAAACCCCACTGTTGTATAAGCCTCTTTGTCATCTGTTCATTTAAAAATTGTGAGATCTGTGTCCTCAGGCCTCCATTTGTGACGACGGTCTTTATGGTTCATATAGTTCCCGAGCTGTAAGTGATACCTAGTATATATACTGAAATGATAATCATATCATAACCCTGGAGCAGTGTTAGCTCAGTGGTCAGTGTTATTCCCCCGCAGCCCTCTGAATGCAGCTGGTATTCTTCTGGTGCCAGTTCCACCCGAAGCAGCCCTGTGGTGAGTGTTCGCATGTGTCCAGAGCTGAGGCAGCTGCTCATGCATGTGTTCATTCTGAAACGCCAGTGTGTGCTTATATATTATACACTCTGTCAGATAATTCACCTTTTTAAAGTAGATGTTTGCACTAGTCTAACTCCAGGTATTGAGCCTTAGTGTGTAACTCATTCTGCATTATTTGTGTTATGAACATGAATGATATCAAATTGTGTAGCATGTTAAGGAGAGGTGTGTTTGAACTAAGTGATTGAACTTACTGTTTATGGGGAAAAAAAAACTTAATAAAACTACAGTGAAGAAGGGACTGAGCTACACTCTACTGTTCAAAAGTCTGTGGTTGGTAATAGGGTTGTGACGGTGAGGAAATTTTCCCACCAGTTAATCGACGTGTGACAACACCGGTAATACCGCTATCACCGTGGGGGCAGGGGCATTTCCTCTTTTCCTCGTTTTCCTTCGCTTTTAAATAGCTTAAAAGCACCGTGCGCATTTTACTTTCACTTTCAAATTAGTGGCAATTCGGCGTCAATTGCTTGAATGCAATAGCTTGTAAAAGCGGCGTGTGCATTTTACTTTCACTTTCAAATAGTGGCAATTCGGCTTCAATTGCTTGAATGCAACAACAAAATACAACGTCAAACTCACTTTAGCCTATATATAAAAAATAGAACTTTTATTGACAAAACGAATAAAAATACACCATGTTATAGGGCAGGCTATGCCTAATATAAAAGAACAAATAACTTACATAGTTAAAATAGGTTATATATACAAAACTGGAATTAAGTAGGCCTAAGCATGTATAATATATAACCAAATAAATAAGAAATGTAGAAAGTTTATTAGCAAAACGAATAAGAAAGCTTGGAGGCACGGCATACACCTTGATGACAAATAAAATAAATAAATTACACAAAGTTTAAATAAAGTAAAAGTCAGCAAACACTTGTGGAACCAATTAAATAAGAAACTAATGTTTAAAAAAACTTCCAAAATCACCTTAGATAAACGGCAAAAGTCAACAGGCTTTTCAAAATACTGCCAAACTGGTGCTTTTGCATTTCGTTTCGAAACTAAATCATCCGCCATCGTCTTGTCTGTCTCACCTCACTCTTCTTGTCAGTCCATTCAGCTCGACTCACTCTCCTCACTGGACAAATGAAATCTGATCTGTGATGCGAAAAAATCTAAACGACGGTGGGGGTCGGTG